AGTTTGAATCTGTAGCAGATGATGATGAAATTCCCTCGGCTCACAGTCAACCTAAGGATGAATTGGTCACTGACGCCCTGACAATGTTCTCCGATGGAAATCCGAAGAAGGGTGGTCGTGGCAGAAAGAAAAATACCACTACTGAGATGTCTGAACGAGAAGGCTACAAAACCCCACCTAGTGTTGAAACAACTACTGATCGCATAACATGCTGCAAAGGATTTGCCGTCACTGGGCGAAGAAATGGTTCAGTTATGAAAACGTTCGGGAAAAGTATCAAATCTTGCTTGCCTTCACACCGCCGTGGAACGACTACATAGCAGAAAATTGCATTGGGCCAGACTATGAAAAAGTCAGACCACCACAGCCTTCAAATGCTCATCCTGACTCCCTCAAAACAATTGCCAATTTCCCAAAGGAAGTGGAAAAGAGGGCGAAGGCTAAAGCCAAGCGTGATGCAAGGCTGGCGAAGAAAAATCAAGTTGAAGCTAAAAACGTCGCGCTGACTCAGCAAGACATGCAGAAGAAGAAGGATCGTGCCGCTGGCAAATCCAGGAAATCTGTTTCCCCTCGAGCTCCACGAAAGATATCTACTGTCAAGAAACCAAAGAAGGTTGTTTCAAGCTCGTCTGATGAGTCTTCTGATGATGATGATAGTGATGAAATTCCTATGTACGACCAATGTGCAATTCTCAACATGCCACACCAGAGTCCCTCTCTAGCAAAAGTTTCACCCCACTAAGGAAATCACCAAGACATGCACCCATTCCAGTTACTTACAACCCTTTGGGTTCGGCACGGAAGAGAAAACTTATGACCGAAGGAAAAACCGAAGCTTCTGCCAAGAAGGCCAGACCAAATGTTCCTGCTTCCATAGAGGAACAAAAGTATGATTTCAGTCTTGTGATTGATGTAATTGAGAGTGCTGCTTACGATGCTAAATCTATTGATTTGAGCAGGTTGGGTCTTCCTGATAATGTTAGCAAAATGACAACAAAACATTTCATCGAGCTGAAGAAAATTACCAAGAGGTTGAACCAATCTGTCAAGGACAAACAAGTTCTCGAGTAAATGAGGAAAGATGCCAATACTGAGTCTGAAAGGAAACAACTGAACAAAGAGATTGTTTAAATCACAAAAGGCACTCAGTCTGATGCGAAATGAAAAAATTGAATGGCACTCGCAGCTGAAAGTGGAAGTATCTCAGTTGTGTAACAAGAGAAATGATGGGATTGGTTGCAAGGCTGATCTGGCTTAAAGGAGAACTAAAGAAGGAAAACGTGAGAAGGCCAGAGCCAGAGCTAGCAAACCGAAAGGAATCAAGGATCGCCGCCTTCAAACCATTGTTACTGATGCTCCAATTGATTCATGTACACCTTTTACAGCAAGTTCCACCATCTCTTGCACATGATGATGAACCCATGCTGCAGGCTGACCATGTGGATGTTATCATTCCCACTCTAGCATCTCAAGATCAACAAGATGTTGTTGAAATCTTTCTGAATCACAATGACGAAGAAAATGCTCCATTGCAACAACAAGCCACTGATGATGATGTTGATGAAGAAAATGAGGTTGAGAAGGCAGATCCCTCGCCTCCAAAGAAAGTGCAAGATGAATCCTCTGAATCAAATAAGGAGGAGATTGAGAAGAATCAGGGGGAGCTAAATGCTTCTCAAGATGGAACCAGCCCAGTCACATCATCTGGTGCCCCTACCCAGATCAATGTTGATCCTGCTCCTCTTGTTCCACTGTACCACATGTGGAAGAGTAAGAAAATAAATCTGAAGATCCCATGGCTCATGATGGAAGTGCCCCACAAGTCGTGTCTCAAAATTCTGAGAAAGAGGTTGTTGTGCCTCCCGCCGAAGACAATACTGTGAAAGAAAAGGCCCTAGTGCCCGAGAGAAACAAAGCCGTTGAAGGAGTTCCGGTGAGTGAAATGACAGACCATCAAGTTCGTCGAAGAAATCTGAGCAAAATAAATCGAGGAAGCTTCGATGAAAGTGTGCCAGCCCCTGATGACATTCGGACCAGGGATATGAGTGAAGAAGAACCTCTGAAAAACCCACTGGAAACATTTGCTTTGTTTCCTGTAGAAGATGGCCCGAATGGTCCTGCTTTCAAGGAACAAGTTCATCATTCAAAACTAGCATTATTTGGGACCAGCCCCTATGAAGGAGAGAGAACTTATTTGTCTCCAAACTTATGGACAAGAGAACATGTTGTGTATTATGCTCGCATTCTGTATGAGAAGAATCGCATCTTCAAGCATAAGATTCTGGATTTTGCTGAGCTCGAAAGCTTACCTTGCTTCCATCACACCATCGAGCAACTTGAGCAGGTCTTCCTGAAGCGTTTCCTTCGCTTCAATCATGGCTGGAATCGTAAAGTAATCCTTCAGTTCTATGTCACTCTATATATCTCTAGAGTTCTTGCAAATTGCAGCACTTGGATCCTCGAATGGATGACTGGTGAGGAAAAGATCAAATGCTCGGCTGACCAGTTCTTAGCACTGCTGGATATTCCTTGGTGCGAATTTGATGTTGCACGAGAACACAGACTGAACTATTGGGAAGTAACTGAAGCTCAACTTCATTGCTAATGCACCCCAAGCTTTTTGGTGACGAATGTATTGAAGCAAATCCAAAGAATCCGGCGTATGAAAACAAAGTGTTGTTTTACATTCTCTGCAATTCCTTCTGGCCAACCAACAGACCAGAAGACATTCAAGGCATCATGGCAGATGCTCTGTTGGCCATCCGCTGAGGGGATTTGCTTTGATGTTGCGGATCTATTCATTCGAAACTTGGTGTATGCGGCTGATAACCCTCAAACCATGAAGCCATAAGCACCATGGATCATGTTTGCCATCATGCAACTTATGTAAGAAAAGTTTTTCTGCCCATATGTCCCGAAAGTTTTCATGCCACCAGTTTGTGATACACTACGAATTGTAAAGGACATTGGCAAAGGAAAAATACCTGTTGATGCTACTGCTTCTGCTCCTGCTTCTGCTCTAGCTACAACTCCGAAGGTTAACAAAGCTCAGGTTGAAATCCCTCGTGAATAAAATCCTTCATTGTATGGAATTTTTCTTCGCACCCAGCAAGCACTGGAAAGCCATATCAAGCTCAACCGCAAAGAGAAGATGGAGAGGATGATTGAGTTGAATAAGCTTCACAATTATGCTCGCCAAGCTCTTCTTTATGAAAAGGAACAGAAGAAGCGCTCCTGGACCCTTTTGGGCAAGCATTACTCTCGGAAGCAACTGTCTGCCAAGGGCATCAAAAAATAATATGATTATCTGGAGCTGTTTGAAGTTCCTCGCCTCCGAAGACAAACTCCAGTGCTGCCTCAGCGTTCTGCCTCAACTGGCTTGTTGTTCATTGAACCAGATAACATTCTCGAAGACACAACAGGAACACTCATATTCAAGCCAGTTGCACCTCGCGCTGCTACTCCCGAAGCCAATCCCGAAGCACAAGCTACAACCCAACTCCTGCTTCAGCCACAACCATCACTTGTTTTACTTCCCCGAATAGCTCGAGTTCTGATTTTGAGGGTTCTTTGGATGAGTAGTTCCTCGTATGCATTTGCTACTTCTTGAGCTTCCGTTGGTTTTTCCCTTAAAGAGATAAGGGTGATGCAGCGAAGTAGAGATAAGTATTTCCCTCAGTTAAGAACCAAGGTATCAATCCAGTAGGAGAAGAACGTGCAAATCACCAATACATGCACAAACAATCAAACACTTGCACCCAATGCGATAAACGGGTTGTCAATCCCTTCATGGTCACTTGCAAAAGTAAGATCTGATAGAGATAGATAAAACTAAACAAAATATAAATAAATATTTTTCGGTTTTTTGGTGTAAAGATCTGAAAATAAAAGATTGCAAAATAGTAGATCCGAAACTAATATGATAGAAAATAGACCCGAAGGCCATAGGTTTCACTAGAGGCTTCTCTCTTGAAGGCAAGTAATACGATGGGTGAACAAACTACTATCGAGCAATCTATTCTATTTATATATAAAAGTACTTGATGGGTTTACCAGAAAAAAGATAATTACCCTAGAAAATTCTACAATAATTAGAGGCATCTGGCCTTTAATTCGGTGGGCCTAATACCATTGAAGAAACTAGAACGATTAGATCTTCATTAACCAGGTGGACCCATACTGTACGTATCGTCACAAACAATCCCTCGATTATGTTCAACCATCCCACGAATAAAAAAAGTCACAGCCGTGCCATAATAGAAATACTGATCAACACACGTTTAAAAGTACACAGCCGTCTTGATGTAGAAAAAATATACACAGCCGTCCCATAATTAAAAAAACTTATCATCACACGTTTAAAAATATATAACTCTCATGGTCCAAGAAAAAGTCAAACGATCATGACGCAATGACCAAACTCTATCAATATTTTACAAAGACATATCTCTCCAAACATAAACAAAATATCTCTCCAAACATAAACAAAATCTCACGTTCACGTACATAAATAAAATCTAGGCATAATCTCTCCAAACATAAACAAAATCTCACGTTCACGTACATAGATAAAATCTCTCCGCATCCAAGCAACCTCTCTTTCCATCGAGCAAGTGTGGTCAACTCAGCCATCCGTAAAATACTTTCCCCATGCAATGCTTCGACCATCTCAAAAATGCATTGTCCTTTAGATTTCAGAGTACCCCTATTACATCATCTTCCTCCGGCAAACAACACTTCGACAACTTCCTCCAACAAGTGGCACTTAAGCATTGTCTTCCTGCATCGGTCACCTGCACCCCAGTCTCATGTCGTCTATCCTCAATCATAATCGGCTCTGTCAAGAGATCAGACCATCTTTAGTAAGTACCATCTCACAGGATTAGATCATCATCCTCTACTATAATCTAGGATTGCGGAACGGCAACCATAGGTCTGAAGTCTATTAAGAAGCAAAGGGTAAGGATACTGCAGTATGATATCTACTTGCAGTATGTAGATCAGATAATGGTCCACATAATATTTGGACTGAATACCTCGGTAATTCTGTCTAAATAAAATACCTCATTAATCAAGTACAAATGGCATAAAAATAACGTGAAAAGTAAGGCAAAAAGTAATAAAAATAATGAATCTTCACAAACTTGAGCATTAATCCGTAACCTGTGGTGGACCAACCATTGGGACGAGCAGGGCTGGTCGGCCCAGTTCTCAAGCGGCGGAGCAAGATACTCCCATCTCCAAATATCAGCAGGTTCATCGTCATTGATCTTTGTAGTCATCCATGATCCATCTCCCCAAAAAAACACAAATTTGGTTCTACCATTGTTTGTAATAATATTATAATATCATCCTCTTGAACTTTATATTTTCATTCTCTATTGTGCAGGAATAAACAATGAAAAGAAATGGTGGGGCACATAGCATGGAATTTGAGAAACCTGCAAAAGGTTGTTAAAACACATCAAATACACAATCCAACAAGATGAACCGTTGGGAATCAAGAATCTTTTATATGTGATATCACAAGAATGTTACAACTAGAAAGACAACAATTCCAGTTAGGCACAAGAGGTTCCTAATTGATTTTTGCTTGGACAAGAAAACAATATTTTAACTTATTATCTTATTGATGCAAAACCAGACAATCAACAAAATGGCAAGATTGGAAAGGAGAATGAAACTGCAAGAAAAGATAAATAGACAGTCTTCGATCATACATGGGGATGTCCCACACTAGACACTACACAGCCACGCCGAAAGGACAACCTTTTATCCACTTCAAGTAACAAAATCTTCACAAAGTTTTACCCTTATGTGTGTTATCAACTTATCATCACTTTGGTTCTAAACTTTAACACTAATGATCTTATGCTTTGCACATCAATTCTGTTGTAGTCCCATTCAACAGATATCTACTGGCCAAATATCAAGCACATATAAATGTAGAGGTGTGCAACAGATCCTTATCAATAAAATATCGTTTTTAAATACATAAATAAAGGTGATGACCAAGCCACGCTTCTAATTGTTGGAAAATAGTTCAGTTTGAATTGCACTTCAGAGATCCTTACGTCAAAAGATTGCCTTTCTACATGGAAAATGAGCAGCAAGTCATTTTCTCAGATTCTACAGATTTAACAAAGATCGTAACGAAAGAAAGAGTAGGAATCACTAAATGTACACACTAGATGGATGTGTGAAGAAGCCAGTGAATTAACATATGCAGAGTCGATACATTGTATATCTACAACGCAATCAGACCTATTTTCAAATTTCGTTTTGAATCTTAATTTGTCTTTGGAAAATATTAAAATTGTAGCTAATCATAAGTACACTAATTATTTTTAAGTTTGTTGAATAGGGGTAGAGGGGCCTCACACTGCCAATGTCATCCCAAGAGTGGAAAAAAAGTGGAGGGGCCATAAACATATTAACACTACACTGTAATCTGTATTTGGCATTCATAACTTACTATCATCATTTAGTACCTTTACCATAAGTCAATGGAAAGAAAATCAAGAGCAACGAGTATACATGATGGTATAAAAACCATAAATAGGAACGTTAGTCACTAAAAAGCACTACCTTATTTAATTATATTAGTTCAATCATACAAAGACAAAAAAAGGATAAGAGGAAGGAGGACATGTAGGTCAAAATATTCAATGACCAAGCAGGTTGCCTCTGTTGACAACGGAGAAAATTTTCGGGCTGCCTCGCTTTGGGACAGTGAGGACGCGTCCGAGTAGGCACTTGGGGACAACATTGTCCCCACCAACCTCACACTCGCACGCGAGAGAAGCTAGCACATCCCCTACATGCATGTCGATGGCAAAAGCACCGTCAATTCTGTTATCATGGAGGTTGAAATCGCCCGGCAAAAAAAAAACCACCCCCTCTCGCTCGCCCCCGCGTCGCTCCACCTGGGGCGACACGGGCGGCAAACCCTAGCCGCGGCCGCCGGCTTCCCCACCTCTGCCTCTCCCCCTCGTCGCCACCAGAGGGGTCGCCGGTGCGCCGCGCGGCTGCCAAGGATGGTGGCGGCGAGGATCTGGTAGCCTCGCTCTCTCTCGAGGTGCCCTGCATCCATGGCGGCAGCCATGGCTGGTGGGCCAGTGCCTGCCTCAGCGGGCGGTGTCCGGCGGTGCTGGCCGTCCTCCTCGGCCGCGGGGGCGGCGAGGGGGCGGCAGGTGGTGGCGGTGGTGCGTTGCCCCTCGGTGGCGGCCGTTTCCGATCTGTTGGCCTCTCCCCCGACATCAACGGTGCCCTCCTGCCAGATCTAGCCTATGGTGGTCTTCGGCTGCCGGTGTTGTTCGTGCTTGGAGGTTGGAGGTGGGAAGGTACACCGGAGAAATCCGAGGCCGGCTGGTCCGGCCACGACGGCGGCGACGTCCTTGGACGCCGTTCCCCTTCTTGTTGGCGTCGTCAAGGCTGTTCCTTTCCCCTCCTCTTCACCCTGCTCGTACCGGGTGAAAACCCAGATCCTTTCCAGATTGGGCGGCAGCGGCGCTACTGGCGTCGTCACCATCTTGGGGGTGCCGTCTTTGGTGAGCTTGTGGTGGAGGTGCCGTTCTGGTTGTCTGGTGGTGGTTGGTGGTGTGGCCGGAGCTCGTCGGCCGTTGTCTCCGTGTGGCAGGGTTTCGCCTATTTGCTCCCTTGGTTGTTCCTGCTCATTTGTGGATGGCGGGAGCTCGGTGCTCATCTCTGCGGACTAGGTGCACCTCGGAGCTCCGGCGCGGCGTCCTCCTTCCACTGCTGCCTGGCCTTCAGCCGCCCTGCTGTGCCATTGCTTCTCCGCGTGTGCAGATCCTCGACAGGGCAGAGCTTCTCTTTAATTTGCTTGACTTGGTATGGTGTTGGCACTCTATTTTGGCTTCCGTGGGCAACGGCGCCGGTTCCCACCTTAGTTCTTGGGGGAGCGTCTCCATCTCTTGACGGATCGGCGCCCTTCGTGCCAGGGCGAGGGGGCTGGTGCCCCCTTCGAAGATGGAGGAGGTTGGTACCGTGTCGGCCAGAATCCTTGGAGCAGACGAGAGTGCCTCTGCACCTATTAAGTTCTTCATGCCGACAAGGTCCTGCTGATGCTTATGTGTGGTGGTCTGCTCATGCTGGAGGGCTTCATCGTCTTCAAGCGGATTAGGGCCTTAGTTATCATATCTTTGCTTGTTGTGCGTATGGAGCCTATTAGTTGTTGGCACAGCACTTTGTATCTTTCGCTGTTCTTCTTTTTCTGTTTTCCTTGTAAGGTGTCGTTTGTACTCTCCTGGCTGGTTGATGGCTTTGTTAATTCAAGTCGGGTTAGGTTCGAGCCTTTCTTGGGCTCGGCCAAGCCTTTCCTCTAAAAAAAAATTCTGTTATCATGTATGCGCAGACATATGCTTACATTCTTTCCAATTTCACTCCCTAATTATCAGTATCTACCTCACTCAACACCTATGGAGCCCTTAAAAAAATAATCACATTCTTTTTCAAGATTCCAAGGAAAAATGAAGAAACAATTTTCACTAAACAGGCATGTCCTTAATTACGTTATGTTCAATCACACAAACAAAGGAAACGGTTCTGAAAAAAAATGATAGTCAAGGAAAAGGGAAAGAGGGACCTTCGAACTTCAAATAATGTCGCCCATGTGGAGGATGCGTTTGGCTGGCGCTCTAGGGGCAGAAAACGTTTCCACCATCCTCATAAGTACTAAAGATGGATCAAAGATGGCTGCAAGAGACGAAATCCATGCCCACATCACCTGCACGGACGCCGACAGCAACAACACCGCGCAGATGGATGATCTCGCCTACTCCCTTCGCAGCTTGACCTTGGGCCTGCTACCCCTCCATCGCCGTTTACCAGCCTAGGAGACCGAGAAGGCGTACGTGGAGACAAACCAGCCGTCGTTGAAGGTCATCCTATGGCCGGACCAGCGAATCGAGCTGCGGGGTTGGCTGCAGGAGAGGATGAGCAAGCTCATGGCAACGAATCAAGGAAGCAAGCTGACGGGGAGCTATCTGGCGGCAGTAATTTTGGAGTGAACGGAGAGAACAAGGAAGAGAGAAAGGGGATCTGGCTAGAGCAACATGCGAGTGTGTGAAGGTGTGAACGTGAAAGAGGATACAGTATTTTTTGGGGGGTTCGTAGGAAAAAGGATGTGTGGTCGGCTGGTGGCTATGTCCATCTGCGTGAGGCTCTTTGGCTAAATCCGTAATATTCAACCAGCAGAAAAAATAACTTTTTTTACAGGATGATAGGGAACGCAAACAATTAGCATGATGGGACCCATAATAAAATCAATAATGTTTTGTACATGTACTCTTTATGTAAATTAATACTCCGCACCGAAATGTCTCAACCTTAAAACAACTTTGTATTAAAGTTAATGTGAAGTTGAGATACTTATTTTAGGACGAAGAGAGTATAAGATGACGTCTTATATTTGTTTACAGAAGAAGTACATCGTAGTGTGCACAATGCTTTTTTTCTAATAAAAATAAGGCTTTGCTAAAACGCAAGTAATGAAAATACCATGGGCCACCTTCTTTTTTCAGAAAGTGAACAATCCGAAATCAACTATGCCAACCTGAAAAATTCAAGCCACCATTGGCAACCTGAAAAATTCAAGCCACCATTGGCACTGCTGAGCGCACACATTTTATTTTGCAAGAAGAAAAATCAGTTTTATTCCACTGAAATAAAATTACGATCGCTAAGACAAATTCCAAGCAACGTCTATTATACGATGCAACCAACAAGCGATGCTACCCCATAAACGATGAAATTAGTTAGATTATGAACAACGCTATTTGAATTGTGTGCGCGTGTCTTAAATTAACTAAATTAAATGACCATCCAAACAAATACCTACAAAGAAAGTTTAAGTGGATATGTATAAATACACTCTTAACTTTTTGTACCATATTAAAACAAAATGATTTACAGTACAAAACTCACTATATATCAAAACAAATACCTACCAATCTTGCGCAAATGTTGGCAAATCTACGGATGCCTACCAACACGAAAACAATGACAACCATTAAGTTTCTGTTTACAAAAAATATAACTAGGCAACATTATAAAAATGCAAAAAAATTATACAAATATATTTTGCACACCGGAACGGATCATACAAAATGTTTGTACATCATGCATAATTAGCACGTAAATGATGAAAAGGTAACCCATATATTTGTATATCAGTAAAAGCTCAAATATATGAAACATAAAAATATGTCCATACAATCTTATATTCAAAAGACGACGTCAAATTTAATTCCAAAATTCTTAG